GAAAAAAAAAAAAAAAAAAATCTATCTCTGTATCTGTGGAAGGAGCAATTTATGAAAGAAATGTGCTTTAAGCTGCACTTGAGCACCCATGTTTTAAAACAGCAACAGGATTTTTTTCTTATTTCTTAGGAAATAAAAAAAAAAATTCTAATGAAGTTCTGAAGTCTATGGAAAAAGAGGCATTAGCTTTTTATGTAAATGTTGTGCCCTGTTTTAATGATGAAAAGGAATATTTGTATGTATTGATTGGGGCAGGACACATTCCTGCTTGCAAGACCTTTTTTCAGAGCTCTTTGGGAGTAACAGATCTAAAACACCCACTCAAATTAGCTACAAACAATACAGTACAGCAAATAAAATGGATGTAGTAATGCCTCTCACTACAACTCTCCCTCAGCATCAGAGGAATAGCTGATCAGCCAGGGATGTTTCTTTGAGAGCCAACACACTGCTCCACGAACGGGCTTCGACTTTGTGTAAGCAGGAAAACTAACATCATACCTCTTCTTGCTCCTCTTCATCATACTCCTCTGGTTCTTCTGCTTCTTCATCATCTTCTCCTTCTTTGTCTTTTGTTTTGTCTTTCTCGTCTTCAGATTTTTCTTCTTCATCGTCCTTCTTTTCCAACTCCTGTCACAAGGCAATCTCCTTTACAAGGTAATCCCAGGTTACAGCCAACAGCATGTCCTCCACACTACCAGAATGTTATGTTGCGGTTAACAGCAGGACAACTAGCATAACAACATTGCAAAAATGGGTTTTGTCAATATTTAAAACAATGGGATGTGAAGCACGAGAACTTCCTAAGACTTCCTTAACTTGATCAAGCATTAGCCATCAGTCAAAAATAATATTGCCTTGTGTAATAAATCGAGATGATGATTTCCCTTTACCATAGCAAAACAATGCATTTGCACCAAGCAACTGATGCATCACCAAGAGAAAAAATACAGGCTGTTTCACCTTCAAGCTTCCCATTCCCATTGCTTTCAAAACCGAGGTCCCTTTCCTCCTAAATTTCTGTATGTTTCTTCCCTCTGAACTTACTTATTAAATGGTTTAATTTCCGCATCAGTAAATTGGTGAAACAACAATAGATTTAAAAGCTTTGGCACCAGTTCCTCCTTCGGTAAGATCTGACAGGAGCTCTGCTCTTCACCATCAGGCTACGTCGCTGCCCAGTGAAGAACAACTGGTCGCTGTGTTCGGAGTCAAACAGGAGCAAAGAAAATAGTTTTTCCACACCTAGAGTCCATCCTTATCCTCTCCCTCATGCTATCACCTTGCAGAACAATTGTCTGTCACAGTAACAAGACAAGACCCGAAAAAGGCTGCTTTTTTGGTTATTCAATCCATTTTGTACCAAAAAACCAAAAGGTTTTGTTTTCCTTCAGCAAGTTCTATTGTAGAGTTTAGAAACAGCATGCACATCTTACCTCGATTTTTTTCAACACATCCAGATTACTTTTAGGCTCAGAGCTTTTTGCCCTTTTTGGTTTTGCACCTGCTGAAATAAAATATATAACTATTACTTTTTTCATATGGAACAACAAAAATCACCTTGTTTTACTTGCTCCTACAAGCTTACATCTTGAGTATGCCATGGAAATCCCATACTGTCTGTATTAAAATTACCTTAGACTTTGAGCTACATTATTCACAGAGGTGTAAATACCCCATTTATGTAAGTGAAGCCTACAGGGCCCGTCTGAAGTTCACTTTGAACAGGTAGTTGACCAAAGGCTTGGCCAAAGTATGACGCTCAGCTTCACAAAATACTTTTCACCTACATACTCACAGTATCTTAACAAACTAGCACACATTAATGACAGCTGGGTGCTTCAGATGGGTAGACAGAAAAGGCAGACAACAGTTTATTAGCTCCAACACAGTAGGCATGGTTACTGCAGCTAGATGGCTTTTGGACCACAGTTGGCTCTCATCTAATGAGTCCACAGTCCGTATTTCTACGTAGTCCCTTGATTCATGAACATAATTTTATATTGCTTAAGTCACTCCCTGCAATCTTAAATTACCCTTAAATCTTAAACTACTCCCTACAATCCAACCTCATTATGCTACTTAACTATACAATGGAGCAAAGGTGAAAAATAGCATTCCATGGACCCAGGTAAGAGCTACCTGAATTGCAGCAACCTAAAATAAGGTTGCCCCAATTCCAGGGGTAATTTGCAACATAGAGCTAATCTGTCTTGGGTAGCAGCCCTTTCTCAGTGAAAACTCCTGTGTGAAGTGCGACACTGGTGTAGCTACATGGATTCTGGTGGACAAGGTACCCTCAGAAAAACTTGCACCTTTTTAACACTAGGCTGCACTAAGTGGTTATCAGAAAGAAAAACAGCGTGCATCGATGGAGGGGATATCCCTTCTGAGCAGATAGTAAACCAATGAGGTTATGTTTGTTATCTGGCCTAATACTTAATGAAGCAGAACACTAAGAGCTGCTAAGAAAACAACTCTGTTTTGTCAAAAGCATTTGGCATAGACAACCTTCAGTTCTCTTCAGTGTTTTGCCTAGGAAGGGATTATGTGACAAAAGCACTGCTCAGAGCTGAGGGGAGTCAAGCTGCTCTGCAAAAACATACCAGCAGCGTCAAAGCAAACACATCCAGAATGAAGTAGGCTTTTAAGTAAAACAAGTGGAAAGCGCGATTCAAAATTATCATCTCTGCACAAACCCCTACAGGCTTTTGGAGACAAAGCCTATAGAACAAATAGGCTGGAAATGAAAACAGACAGGCAAGATCTTTCCCTAAATGCTGGCTGTCTCTGGAGCTTACCATAAAATGAGAGGCACCAACCCATTGTTAGTAGAACTTCATTCAAAATAGCTCCTTACCTCCCTGTAGCTTACAGGTGCGGTGCAATACAATCTAATCCTTCCAAATACCTGTTCCTTGGGCTTAAATACCTCTGATTGCTATAAAGATATGCATACAGCCAGCCTACAAGAGCTTTGTTTTTGGTTTGGTTTGGTTTTTTTTTGTCAGGCACTGCTGCTATCTAGGATACCGCGTTCCACAGCCAGGGGTAAGCGTGGGGGAGATGTACAATTCCACCAGAAAGGGGGAGGTGTGTAAAAATGAAGCCATCCCTCTACATGTAACGATGTAGAGATCCCAAAACCACTCTCCTGCAATATGTGAAGGTAGAATGGTAGGAAACCTGCCTGAATTTTGGTGCAGATTCTCTCCACTCCCTTACCTTTGTTCCACTTGACTATAAAGTGTCACCTAAGAAGACTGTCCTCAAAACACAAGGAGGATACGTACCAAAAGGGGTAATGTGTCACTGATCAGATATTTACAAACCTCATGAGTCATATGGCTTTTGTACAACCTCTGTATCAGCAGGATTCCCCCCAAAAAAACTAAATGATTTTTGCTATTTTTTTAACCCAATCAGATTCTGATGGCCAGCTGATCTTTGCCATTACAAGTATATAAGAAAAATGTATTTTTAAGAGCAAATAGAGAGGAAAAGAGGAAAAATCCCCCATTGTGAGCAGTGATTCTCTCTTTGCTTATGATAATCACAACATTATTGTAACATGGAATAATAAACTGGCATTTATGATTTTCATTGGATCTTGGGAAGTTAACTATTGCATCCAGACTTACAAAAGCCAATGCACTTTCTCTTTTTTTTTTTTTAAAGTAGGTATGTACTAGTTTAGTCTTTAGAGATTTTGCAAATAAGTATTTAATTTCCAGTTGAAGCTTGCAGTCTACCTTTAGTACTAATAACTCTCCTAAAAGGAACAAAGCTTCCAGCTGGTCCAGTCTCCATGACTACTGCACATTCTCTTTTCTTTTTCTATTTTATCCTTGAACTGAAACATGACACATGAAGGACTTGGACAAAGAGAACAAGAAAGTAAACAACTCTATGTAACAGGCAGCTAGACAGAGGAGGCCAAGTGTTATTTCACATCAACAGAGCCACAGACTTCTACAGAGAACTTAAAATAACACTCATGCATGCCAGGAAACAGTTTGAAAAACAAATACACGTATGATGCTGTGTAATAAAAAAGTTTTTTTTCCTGTAAGAACAACCAATACCAGCTCCAACTGCTGTTGAAGGATCTGGTTCACAATTCTGCAGAAGAAAGCTGAAAATAAATAAAAAAAAGTAAAACCAGGGAAAATAGAAAATAACCTACATTAAATCACATATGAAAAGCTTTAAAAAATGCAAAAGTCAACCAAATCATAAACAAGGTAATTGAGAAACCAAAAATATAAGGGAAATCTGAATAGCTAGCTACTCACTGAATAGAAGGGTGAGCGTTGACTAAAGATATAAACTTTCAAAACAAAAAGCTTTCAGCTTTTTAAAATCTTTCACTGTTACATATCTCATATCTTAATATGGTACATCAATATGAAAGGCAGGAAAGGAAGATAAAGCTGTTCCAGTAATTTTAAAAATCCTACAGAAGCAAAGTAAAAACCACAAAAGACAGGCAGACTAGTAAATTATTTAGAAAAAATATGCTAAAAGCCCTGAGTGTTCAGACTAATTAACACTTCTACCATTTTTTTTTCCCTAACCAGCTCCAGTATGTCTTCTAGTGTGTACTAAATGCTTCTTAAAACTATGCAATATACCTTTTTTGGTCTTTTTCTTTGGCTTCATCTCTCTTGGAAGTCTTCTCCAATCTGTGCAGAAAATAGGTTTAATATATACAAATGATGACTTATAGCAGTAATTCTCCCCCTGCTGCCCTCTGAGGAAAGGTAAGGGGCCCATGTTATGCTTGATCCTGCTCACATTCATGCTGAAGTGTTTTAGCACACAACAGTTTTATGGAATTCTAGCTGTACTTTAAGTTGAGGAACTAGAGTGAGGACTAGCATCTCACCCACTTAATGACAACTGGCATCTGCCCCAAAGGGCCAAAGTTCAGCCTTTCCAGTGGCCCACATGCCCTTCAATTTACATTCTATAATTAAGTTGCCAGTGGCAAGCTACACAGATATGGTTGTACAAGTTTAATGTTATAAAACCCAGCTACCCGTGACTCAAACATCAGGTTGGGTTATTTTTAGTAACATAAATGTTTGCTCCCAGTTTAAAACTGGTATCTCCACGGTGAGAAGAGAAAAAGGAAAGCTGGAATGAGAGCTAAAGCTTGAATTTTTGCTGCAAATCAGTTGTTTCAATTGCGTAAATAAATAAAATCGGATTTCGTCCCTCCCTTTTTTTTTTTCATCAAAACAATACTTTGCCTGCATATGAAAACATGCAAAGGGTATGTATTACTCATCAAGGAATACACAACTTGGTAAGAATTTGCATATTTTTTTATTGCTTGAAAAATAATGAATCAAACATTTTAAAGAACAGAACATTTCACAGGTTAAAAAAGAATTAGCCTTTGATAATCTCAGATATTACCTGGGGTCCATGCTGCACGCTCCTTTTCAATGTCCTGGTACTTCTGACTGTACCTCTCAATTGCTATAGAAAAGGATGCAAAGAGTTACAGAAATCAGTTAATTAAAAAGACAATCCAGACATCATCCTTGATATTTTCCTGTAACTAAACATACAGTGTATTTTCTGATCTCACATTGAACACTTTCTTGTGCTGTTGTCAAATACCTAAAAACCAGTTTAATGTCATTACTTCGAGTAGTTATCATATAATTCCCAGGACTAATCATTTGCTAAGTACTTGTAAAACCTGGATTTTATATCCTCCCCCCTCCCAAAATGGCAAAATTCTCAAATACCCCCAAAATAGAAAGCAGTATCTCCTTTAAATCAAAATACTTTCCCTTCCCCCTCAAAAAAACCCAAACAAAGCAAAACAAACAAACAAACAAAACCTACCTCCAAAATTGTTGTAATTTATACTTACATTCTTGGAAAGCGTAAAACCACAAAATGCAGATATAGTCAGGGAAGCTACGTTGAAACATCAAAAGACCACTAGCTCTTTCAACAGTTTTGCAATCAAACTTTTGCTACAAAACCAGTGAGTGATGTTCCCAGAATGGCTCAGAAAGCCACCTCCCATATTGATCATGATCAGCTTCCAATACTTTCAGGACTTCTGCAATGGCCAAGCTTTGCAGCACAACACAGATGTGTCCTGAACAGCAGCAACACATTTTAGTCCATTTAACCTCTTTCCAGACGCAAGAATTAAACTGAGAAATGTGCTGTGAATAATACAGTAGTGATACAGTGGTGCTGCAGAAAGCTTTCTTGTACAATTTCTAATGACAAAAGCAGTATCAAAAGTTAAGAAAAAATTAAGTTTCAAAAGAAATCAGTCCCATTTCTTACTAAATGACCCTGCCCAACTGCAAAAGCCATGTAATGCAAAAATTACTGATCTGATTCACTAATAACTCATTACCCAAACAGGGATAATTTTTTTGTAGGTATTGTACAAAAAATGGTAACAAAGACAGGCTGTGACCTTTACAGTCAAGGACTTCTAACATACTTAGCAGAGACAAGGAAGGGAGAAGGAAGACATCAGAAATGAAACTCGAATTTTAAACTTAGTTATGTTAAGGGCGAGCAGAAGACCTACTTAAAACAAAGAGCTTGCATTTAAAATGACAGTGTCTCAAGGGGCATTTAATGTAGGTGGCCTTCACAGATGCTGTAGGAAACTGTTAGCACAGAGAGGGAAAGGAAGTAGAAGTTCTGATTTCAGCTTGAGGCTCTTTAGTGAAGAACTAATTGTTGATGCCACCTGTAAAAAAAATACAACTGACTGACTCTCGCCACTCACAGCTAACGAACCCACTGCCACGGTGACAGTCACCCAGACGTAGCAGATACACCTGCAGGAGAAATATGAATGATTCATAGCTTCTGAAGTGAGGAAAAAAGACAACTTTCAACAGAATATGCCTGCTACTCACTCAGAGCGAGTGCTGAAATGAATGATGAAAATCTAGTCTCTATGCCACCCTAACACATCAAAATTGCCAGGTAATATTAGATATGGCTTTCATTTACTACCTGAATAATGAAAGAAAGACAGATAGCCCTGTCCTAACTAATTAAAATGTTTCCCTTCTCACACTTCAAAGGACCATTTGGCTCACAGATGTTGTGAGATTTAAAACCACAGAGGTCTAAAACAGTCCATTTTCTCCTGTAGCAAAGCCAATTTAAGAAGTTCCTGGCTGTCTCTTAGTCCTACCAGACGTGTCGATGGAATACAGGGGAGCAAAGGGCTGTAAACCAGATAACAGAAAAGATCAGTTAAAAATAATCTAACCTGAGGGAAGAAAGCAATTTTCTTAAAGCTAGGCCACTTCTGCCACATAATGCAGTTCAAGAGACAACTGCATACTGTGACTGAGATGAAAGCAAGCTTTCTCAGCTGCAGACCACCACTGATGTAATTATACTCCCCCCCTCAAATCAGGTATTTTTGTACAACTAAAGGTTAAGTAAAATGTTACCTCAACTTACCCACTTACCCTTGGGGGGATGATGAGAACTTTTGAAGCATTATTTGAGTCTGTCAAGCGGCTGTCTACCTGCTTTCCCAGCAACTGCCAGTTTTTGTGGAAAAAACAGTCTTCAAAGCTGGCAGTACAACTAAAGAGCACACTCAGCAACAAGAGAGAGATCACTCCATCTCATAAAGGAGGCTGCAGAAACAAAGACGATTTTGAGGTGAACAGTAAGAACGATGACATGAGGCCGAGTTGGAAAAGAGAGGATGGTATGTTCTCATACAGTGGCTGCCTCCTTGGAAATAAGCCTGACAGGCTCTCAGGCACAGCAGTTCCCTTTTTTTTGTGCCTCAAACAGAAATAGCAAACTTCAAGCCTGACAAAGATCAGGAGCACGGCAAGCTCTTGAGAGACGAGAATCCGACCAGACTGAAATTTGTTTACTCAGAAGATGAAAGGGGAAACGTGATAAAAAGAGGAATTTGGAATTCTACCATCATAAAGGGATCTGGAAACGAAGATCAGATCTGTTCTCCTTGCCTCATAACGAAGGTTTTACCTGGCCACAGCGTCAGGGTCCAACCCCTGGGCCATGCTTGTGCTGCTCTATGGCTGCCTGCTGTGTCCTGGCGAGAGGCTGGGCTCCAGCTGCAGGTCAGAGGAAATATTGTGCCTTTTGTGAGCCAGCGTGTTCACTGCTCACACTGCAGAGTGCTGCTCCGTTTTAAACAGTGCTTTAGTACAAGTGGGCAATCAGTAAAGTGTATTAACCCCTGTTACATTCAAAGCCTAATTAAAAAAAAAAAGTAATTATATTGCGCCCAGATTTACAAACCTCCAGAGTTCACCACTACACCATGAACAAAAAAATGCCAAAAATTCAAAGGGGACTGGACTACGTACCTGTATCGTACCGACATCATGAATATTCACTCAGAAAATACTCTGATGGTTTTGGGGTGGAAATTTAACCTCACATTTTAGAGTTCAAGTCACCTCTCATTATTCAAAATCAGCACAAGATAGAAAGGAAAAGATTATCCAGTGTTTGGCCACTTCAAATATCTTAAACAAGAACTGCCTATTGCACTTAAACTTAGCCTGGGGTCTGACACATGTGGCAGTCCCTATGATGTTTTATTTCCCGTTCCCCTGTAAGAGCACTTGCCATTTATACCATTCAGAACAAGCACTCAGGAAAATAATTCAACTGGGCAAAAATCACCAGTGAAAACAAGCAATCCTCACAGTAATAACCTTTTGTGACTGCTAGATTGACAATCCCTCTACAACAAGGCAAACAGACATCAGGGTCTTCCTACCCTGCTCCCCTTTCCTTCTTTCCCACTATCTCAGTTTTCTGACCAGGAAGCTTGGATTTTAACAGTATAATGATATATGACTGGATGTTCAAGTATAGCAGAGCAATTACCGTAATCAAACAATAACAAAGCAGTTAATTTTTAATCACGCATAACCAAAAGACATCCTCGGGTAGAGCAGAATAAGATCAAGCTTTGGCTTCTAGGCCAGCTCTGCGTCTGGTGCAAACCTCAGTAAATCACTTATCCTCATCTCAATCTTCATATTTCAGGTGACTTGTCAGTAATACTCATCGATCTTTCCTGAGTGGACTTCAGGGAAAAAAGTTAGTACTTTTTAGAATGTCCAGCTAATAAATATAACATTGATTATTTTAAGTATGTCTTCACACAATAAAAATGGAAGCTGAAATTCAACACTAGTATTTACTACAGATTTCTTTGCTCCATTGCAAAGTTTTTAGGGTATTTTAACATGTAGAAATTACTATTTTGCTTGTATTGGTTAGCATATAATTGAAAAGACTGCATATACTTGGTCTAAACATTTCTTACTATGTATCAGATGGAACAGATCTTCGATACCTCTCTTTTTCACACACCAGTTGCTTTCCAGTTTCCAGTGCTTTCCAGCACTTCTAGGCATGACCCACAACTTCAGTAAGTATAAGAGTAGAAAGACTCCCTGTTACCTTAAGCTGCCAATTTTTATCCTCATTATCAGTACAAAATACATCTTCAACACATGCATTTCACTACGTCATCCTTCACGGAATAATAAATACTGAAGATATAAATGAAAAAGCACACAAACAAACCTTCACGATCTTCTTCTACTGCCAAAAAATATGGCATTTTTTTCATAGTTCCTCTAAGATCTTGTTTTAAGGCCAACATGTAATCTTCATCTTCTCCTGTTTTCAGAGGCACTGGCTTATTGTCTGTACTCTGTACAAATTATGTTCATTATTTATAAGGTCTTAATATCCATCAAATATACAGGAACACTAACAAAAGCTACAATAAATACAGCTAATCACAGAAGAGTGCAACTATGCATTATGCTACTTCACAAGTATACTTTACTGCATTCTGACATGCATAACCACATTTACAACTAAATTTATACCCTCTATGACTTCACTGTATCTCTCTGCAAAAACGTATCATGAGATCAAGAAAAATAAAGTATTAAGACTGTGAAATAGTCCTACACAGACATGCTGAGTTCTTAACTGCCAAACACAGTCTTTCACAGCAGCCTAACTTGCTCAGAAACCACTGTTTCTTCCTTCACTCAGAGTAGCACTGAACCTCTTCTAAAACCGCATTTTATCTACATTAAATATGATTACTCCAAGTAACAAGCACCCTTTCCATGCCTATTGCCACAGAAACAGGCTGTGCTGTCATACAACCAGGTTGCATGGATTTCAGTTTCTGTCAGCTGAATTTTAATTAATTGTTAAGGTTTGGATTTTGGGGTGGTTTTTTTTTGAACACTGAATCTAGAAATTGGGAAAAATTGGGATAAAAAGGGATAAATAAGCAAAAAGAGTTTTAAAAATGAACAGAACACTAGAGACAGAGTTACACTAGATGTGGCTTCTCTAACATGACAGATAGTGCACAATCAATACTTTAAGTGTTAGATTGCAAAGCACAAAGTGCTATCACAATCCCAGAGCTGGATCATGAAGGGAGTTTACTGCTTCCAGCTGTATTCTCTAGCAAGCCAACATTTAAAATCACTAATGTTGCTGATGGTAAGCTGATGTTCCTTAATTGGGCTTCTAATTGCATTTACAGGAAATTCCTAAGAACTTAGAACGTGTCTATTAGAAATTATGCAATAGCAACCGTTCAGTTCTCAAAATAATTCCACTGCAAGCCAATGAACAGCTGTAACATACTTTTGGTCACTGCCCAATATTTAAATCTAAATCTTGAAATTTTTATTGATCCTAGTTATGCCACTAGTTTTTTTTTTTTTGTTTTTTTTTGTTTTTTTTTAATGGCAGAGGATTTCCCCTGACAAGTTTAACTTTGTTCTGAAACTTTGTTCACAGAAGGAAGAAAGCGTCTTTAACTTCTCCATGGTATACTTCAGATATGCTGGAGCTAGTAATTCTCCTACAAAGCCAATCCACTGCTGACTGTAACCGCAGAAGCTGTAGTTCAGGCAGAATTCAGTTTCCTAGTGCTAACAAGCAGACTGCCACATTCACATTAGGACCAGTTACAGATGGTTTAGCATCAATGAAATCACACAACTTAGTTGTAAAGGATCTGTAACACCTGGTTCAAGAAGTCAAAACCTTCTGAAGGTGAAATAACTATTCAGAGAAATCTTAACGTAGTACCAGTTATGTCAAACTTGTAAGTTCCCTATCATAACATGTGAGATTGAGAAACGTGTCATGCACTTTGCTCAAATCCTGACGTAATTGGGAAGTTTTCTTCTATATGCCACATTGTAAGACTACTTTCCCACCTCAAAATTGCCTGAGCTTCCCTGCATTCCCTGCAAAATGCAGTCAGAAAATGCTCTTTCTTTCTCTTTAATTTCCAAATACATCCCAAATGCCAAATGTCAATTAAGTTTCCTTAATTACGTAAGAGATCTTTCAGTTATTTTCAAATTATTTTCAAATGCTGTCTACTGAGGTACAAGACGATCATCCAAAATCTTTGCATCAACAGTAAATTTCTAGAATCAGCAAATCCATTCACAGCTTCAAAGACATAAGTTCATGTCAAACAAATTTATCTATCCAGTGTTTCCACTACTATGCCCAGAAAACGAAAAAACGAGGTCTTTAACAAACATCTGGCAAGCAATCTAGTTAAATACGGCATACACCAGTTAGCAAAGGGACAAGAAGTAATAATAAGAAAAACAATTATTTACATTAAGGACTTCAAAACGGACCTAAAGTGCTTAGTGTTGTTCATATATTTAATTACGTTATCTAGATGTAAGAGTGAATGCAGTTTACCTGAAGGCAGAGAGTGTGCTCTATGAAACTCACTGTACTTACAGGAAACGGTGGTGGAGGCTGACACACGACATCGGGTAGGGCTGCACCTTTAGCAAAGCCAATGGCCTCGATGTTGAAGGTAAACGAAGCACGTCCTCTCCCTCTACCTGACCCAGCCATTTGGGGTTACTGAAAACATTACAGATTTTTAAAAGATTTATTTTTGTTACACATATCAAACGCATTTATGTATTACCTCTAAAATTAATATCTAACAAAGATTACAGCAATTTTAAAACCACTCTCAAAGATCATTTTAAATAGCAAGCCATTTGTAACGCCCATCTTACGTTCTTCCACGTACTATAAATGTGATACGTGCCTAAAACCAACTCCCTGCCTTCATTTCTCTCAGCCACCTCCGCGTGCCTGAAATTACCTCCTAACCCAGGAATTTTAAACATTCTTCTTCTAAACTTTAGACACACTAACTTGAGTTCAGTCAGGATAGAATAACCAGAAACAAGATAATAAAAAAAAAAAAAAAAAGAAAAAACAGTTCAAGGACCCTGAACTTTCTTTCTGTGAGTTTCTGAACTTCTCTGCAAAAAACTGTTTGTTTGTCACTCATGTCTTCTTCATCCTTCAGATTATTTTTTTCCCCCTTTATCCTTGTAACTTGTTTTTGGGTACAAATAAAGAGACAAAAGCAAAGAGGTTCAAGGTAAAAGAACCAAGGGACTCCTGCATGTCTGCAAGCTAACTGCTGATAAAAAGGGTTTGTTTCTAATTAAAATATTTCACCAGGGATATAAAAGAAAAATAGTCTGCAAAACTCCCTTGACAGTCAAATCTCACCACCTTCACTCTTACACCAATCTTAATCTCAGGACTGTATGATCCATGGGTTGGCAAAATGGGAGAAACACATTTTTTGCAGGGAAGATGTCTAGGAATGGGACCCAAGAGAAGTCTGACTGAAGCAAAGTGCTACTGCTCACTCCCCGGGACTGTGTAAAGATCATATCAAGGCTCCAGTCCACAAATCCCATGTGCTGTTTATCATTAATTACAAGGTTAGCATATTGCACCCTGCTCAGTAAGAATGTGCATTTAATTAACCAGAAATTAAAAAAAAAAAAGAAAAAAGAAACTGCAAACTCTCTGCAAACCTGGAAATAAATGCATACTTAAGATCTTTTAAGATTCCCTCAAATGCAAGCAATGGCCTTTTTATTAAATGCTAGTGAGAAACAGTTTGGTGCAAGTACTTTCCTACTTATTATCTTCAACAGGAATAAGCCCTGTTTGGATAAAACAAAATCACATTATATATTTCCACATCACTCGGCAGCGCAGAAAACTGTCTAAAAATAAGCAGAAAGACCTAAATAAATCATTTTAGGAAAGACAACAAAGCAGAAGCTGTGCCTGAGCATTTAATTAACCAGAAATTAAAAAAAAAAAAAAAAAAGAAGAAGAAAAAAGAAACTGCAAACTCATTGGAAAACAGGATGAAAAGCAAGATGTGAGCCTGGCAGATGGAAAAAAGATAAAAGCAAAGCCCCAAATATGAGCAATTCTATTATTTTAGGTGTGAAAAAAAGGAACCAACAACATAAGTAATCAAAAAACCAAAAAAGTTAGGGGACATGTCCAGCTAGTAAGGAGAGGTACACTGTTTGCATTAAATATAGTTAATATAAAGATCCATTTTAAAAATGCTGCTTCAAAATTAATTCTTGTGAAGATTGTCTTGAAATAACACATTAGTCTGATGAGAAGTAACAAGCTTTATAACCAGCAGTATTTCAATTCCGCAGTTTTATGGAAACACGTGATTTTTTCAAGCATTCTGGCTGACAAGGTTTATGTCCACTGAGACCATAGAGCGACGGTGACAGATGATTGGAGAAATCATGAAGGAAAAGTTGAACTGCACAAGCCTGACAAAGTTACCATGACAACTGTTGTTTTGGCTGCCATGAGGGATGCTCAGTGGAGCACCTGGGTGCATTTTTGAGTTTACAGATAGTTTGTGTGTCATGTACTCTGCAAATGAGAAAGTGAAGTTCAGATTTAAGCTTTTAAAATTCCTTCACAGCTACGTACGTTGTTGCTGGGGCAGTCAGCCAGTCAGTGGAAGGCTGCAGAAGCCTTTGGGAGGGAAAGGCCCGTGGAAACAGGGTCCCTGCCAGCTGGTGCAATGTTGGTGGGCGTGAGGAGACTCAGCTGAGCTCTGGCTATCGTGCGCGGTCCCCCTGAAAGTAAAAGGGTGAAAGTCTGTGTCATGATGGCCACAAGCCCCTGCCATCTGGGAATACCCCCCTTCAGCTCCTTGTTGCCCTCTCCCTCTGCCGCACTGCTACCCCCACCCTGAGCCGGCAGACACCCCCAAAAGCTCCCCCAGCTCCCCTCACCACCATTATGGCTCTACTTTCCCCGCTGCAGATGGGTCTCGGCTACCTGCCCTGGGCAGTGCTCAGCCCTAACACCAGAAAGTAAGGGGCTTCAATACCTCTGTCCTCTCATGCAACATCTGCCCTCTCCCTGCCCCCTCAGGGCCCCCTCAACATCCCTCAGAGCTCCCTCACTCCCCCATCTGAGCTGCCTCATGACTCCTTCCCACACCCCTTCAGGGATCCCTCATGGCACCATCACCCCCTCTCAGAGGTCCCTCACCCCTCCAACCCCCACGGGTCCTTCAACCCCCAGGGGTCCCTCACCACCCCTCAGGGGTCCCTCATATCCCCACTCCCCTTTCCCTGGCCTCTCGCAGGTCTCCCTCATCCCTTCTCAGGGCTCACTAACCCTCCTCAGGAATCCCTCACTCACCCTCAGGCCCCTTCACCCCTCTCATGGCTCCCTCATTTCCCCTCAGAGCTCACTCATCCCTCCTTACCCCCTCTCAGGGGTCCCTCAACCCCCCTCAGGATGGCCCACATGCCTCCCTCATCCCCCCCTCTCAGGAGTCCCTCACTCACACCCAGGGGTCCCTCACCACCCCTCAGAGCTCCCTCATCCCTCCTTC